CCCCAGCGCATCCCATCCCAAACAGGGGTAGAAATCCAGCGCGATGAGGTATGTGTCTCCATGTAGAGGCCATCCATTCTGCAGTTCCCACCTCAGAAGTGTTTTTTCTGCTCCTCTGAGAAGTGCTGCTGGGACAGAGTGTCAGACTCACCCTGGTTTCAACCCCTGCCTGTCTTCCTGCACCAGGAGACTGCAGAATGCCCCTCATCCCACTGCCCCGGGGCTGCAGTGATGAGCTCTTGCTGCTCTGTAGTTCCACAACTCCCTGGCACAAGCAGCCTCTCCAGGAACAAGTGTTGCAGCTATATTGCATTAAAATAAAGGCTCAGAAGGACATCATTAGTGTAGATTAAGAGTTCAGTGCTATTAGGGAGTAATTACTGCTTTCACAGGAACTACTTAATACGTGGCTTAGTCCTTTAGCTAGCAGCACACAGGTGTGCCAGGGTCTCCAAAAGCTTTTCACCCGCGCAGGAGCGTGGTGCCGGCTGTAATAAACACTGCACTATAATAGTTACAAATAACCAATTTACACTCCTAGCACAGCTGCTAATCAATAAAATGGAATAGTTTATCCTTGTGTCTTTATGATATGTATTCTGGGCACTTCACTCCCAGCCAACTCAGATATCTTGTTTCTCCAACGCGCAACCTATTTGTTTTCCTCTCATTAAGTGCCTCTGTAGGATATAAAGTTAATAGAGTGAAATAAATATCCAGCAACATTCAATGTTGACCCAGGGTTCACAGCTAGGGTTGTTTCAGGTTGTCTGCTGCCGGTGCAGCTCGGACAGCAGCATCGCCCTAAAATTTCTCACAAGCTTTCAAACAAGAAACCCCCCAGCTACGCAGGAGCTCTTTCCAAAGACAGGTGGGCACTGTCCGTGTTTCGTTCCGTCTGTGCGATGCCCACTGATCGGTGCCGGAAACGCTGAGCCTCTGCGTGCCGGCTCGGGTCTGGGAAGCGCAGGGGTGACGAGTGAGGTGCTGACCTGGAGAGGGGCCACCGTGCCCACGTCTGCCGCTTCCAGGGCACAGAGGGTCTAGTTAACGACACAGACCTCGCTCTGCCCTACCCTCGTAGCCTCATCTGTGGTCTGCTGC